ACGTTAACCTCTACCCAGCCCTAGCCATAAGTAACCAAACAAAATATAAGAGTTTTTGCATTTTTTGTTTTTTCATTGCAGCCACTAATTTTTATAAAATAGGGTTTTCCCATATGGCAAAAAACGGGTATTCATCACGTTGTGGGGACATTTGGTCCCCACAAGGTAAGGTATACCTGTCATTTTCCAACACGGAACCAGATGAGGGGAGTCGTGGATATGCACAAAAGGGATTTATTCGTGGGATAGCACACTTCAGAACACACGAAACGTTAATGACAGGACTAGGGAAACAAATGGAAACGCGGACTAAATACACTGGACTAATGACAACAATCAGAAACAGCAGTTAAACACTGGGAATCCACATGAGGTTAACGAGGGGGGCGTGGCACAGGAGGATCGGCACGATCGGGGTGTGACAATACCTGGACCATACATACACACACACTATTTAGAGATACCAGTTAGGCTAATTTTAATGATTATTCCTTTAATGGATTATCTAATATAGGTTTAAAAATCAGTTCAAAGTTTACCTCCGCTACTTTTGTATAAGCCTTGCATGCGTTCTCCGAGACAATTATAATAATTTTCATTGTTGCTGTTTAAATCACTCCCAGACGGGTTTGTGAAAAATTTAAGTCGAACTCCATTTTGTTTTATAAATACCCAAATAATTATTACAACAAAATAATACAAAATACTTAATTTCTTGTCCCAGTAATCCTGATCTTGTTGTATCTGTTCTTCCAACTAGATCACAGTTAAATCTTTTATTTTTTTACTTATTTACCTTATTCTCTTAACTTTTTTCAAGACAGCGTTTGTATAGTGTTTCAGAGTCAGGCTATTTGCATAACGAGTCGACAAGGATAGTATTTAAAGTCCCAACCCAAAGTACCAAAAAAGCACCCCAGTTTGTCCCTTTTAGTACAGGAACTTTTTGTAAGCAACCGGTCAATGGAAAAGAGAAAGTACCGAAAGTACCGTACCCTAAGTACCGTACCTGTTGCAGTGGAAAAGCCCCCTAACATGGTGCCGTTTTTAAGTTCTAAACCACCCCATAATGATGACGACAATGCAGGCATCACGCAATCACATTTTAGTTGTGTAGGTGTGTGTTTATATATTGTCCTCTCCAGTCACCATGACAGGTAAGATAAAGCGTTCAAAAGTGTGGGCTCACTTTAGGAAATGTTATGCTTATGGAAGTAAATTAATGACTAAAGTGGTTGATGCAAAAAAAGCATGTTGAATTACACTAATCGAATTAAAATGCACTGCATTTAATAATGCTTGAATAAAAACGTATTGCATTCAGTAATGCTTAAATATTTGGGGGCTGTAATTTAATGTCAATGTTCTTTTAAACATTGAATATTTCAGTTGAAAATATTTCAGTTGCAATTTCGGTGGTAAAATAATCAATACAAAAGTATTCAGCTCCACAATTCAATCCCAAAATACACAGTTTATAAAGTTCATTTTTATAATTCAGTAATATGAATTCAGCTCATTCATATTTGCCTCAAAATTAATTTCAAAATCGATAAAATCTTAACGATACCCATCCCAGCTGACAGGCAGCAAACCTGGCCAAAGGGGTATGTGCAGTTTGGGACAACCCATTCTGTCTGGGACCATTTTCCATGCTCACCTAGTTAATAATGTTTGATTTTCGTTCACTCTGTCCTGTTGTCATGACAACATGCTGTATCTTTCTGAACCTTCTTTGTATGTGTGTGTGTGTGTGTGTGTGTGTGTTAGACAGTGAAGACCAACTTATACAATTGTGTATTGTGGACGGAGTTGCTGTATTTTTAAGGTTACTTCAGCACTAGTGATGTAGTGGTATCATGCAAGATTCCCATTCTGGAGGCAGTGAGTGGCTCAGTGGGCTAAGCCTCTGTGCCTGTGATCAGAAGGTTGCTGGTTTGTGCCCGGCCTTGGCATATCTACAGGTCCTTAAGTAAGGCCTTTAACCCCTGGCTCCCTGGGCACAGTAAGCTTGCTCACACCTACAGAGAACAATCTGGGGCAGGTATAAAGAGAGTTTCCCCATTTGGATCAATAAAGTATCAACTATTATAAAAAAGAATTTTATAATAAATATATTATCAAAAAGAAACCTGCACATTTGCAGGATGAGAACCTGGTGAAACCTACAGTATGATTTCGCTGAGAAATTTGTTTAATCAGAGTGGAGGGAAACTTTTCTGTTGATTGCGATAATAGCCTGTAAATACATTTTAGGTAGCTAAAGAGGCTGCAGAGTTTAATCTTATCCTGGCTTTTAACCTTTTTTAACCTTTTTAACCTTTTTAACCTGTGTAAATAAGGCTTGTTTGATCATAAGTTGGTGTACAGTATATCCTATGCAAATGTTATCATTTCATTGATGGAAATGGATCAAAATAAAACATACATTCTAATGTACATAACTACACTCTGAATCTGCTGACCCAAACGTATACAAATTAAAAAATAATAAATATATTTCAATAACCAGAGCAGAATTGGAACTGAATGCTTATTTGGTTTCTGTATTTATAATCTGTTATTACTTTTATTTTTTCTTCCCAGGAATTCACAATGACTGTGAAAGTATGATCTGGTCATATGATGTTTTTGGTCAGTTTTGTTCCATGGTCGGTTTTGTCCATAGGTATAATTTTCTGTCTTTCCTGAGTAAACATTGTAGGTTTGTAGTAGGTGGGATGGTGAACCATAAAATAGGGATGAGAGGAAGGAGTGGGTATTGAGTGGAAATGGCTTTCCCTTTAACGGCAAAGAGAAACAAAGCCTAAATGACTTTTTCCTTCATTGTAGTAAATGTTTAAGAAATATCTGAATAGGAACATACAAGCTGGCAGCATCTCACCGCACACAAATTTTCAGGAGTTACAGCGTCTCATGCACTTGTTTGCAGACACACGCTTGTAATTTCAGTCAGGGTTCCCTTTGCCCTTAAGCAAGAAGGTTGCTACCATGACGACTGACGTGATGGAACCCAGAACATGCACAAGCTTCCCAAGTGCCAGGACACACATCAAGTTTTTTTTTAATTTTTGTTAAGCTGCCAGGTGTCCTAAGCTTAAAACCCTGGGCAGTGTGCGAGCTGGAATACCTCTCTATGCATGCAGTGAATGCAGGATCCAGGTGTGCGCCATCTGCAGTGCATTCATATTGGTTTATCAGGCAGATGCTTTTGTCCAAAGTGATGTACAAGACAGATAACACCCTATATGGACATAAGTACTGGGACACACCTCTTAATAACTGAATTCAGGTGTTTCGTTCAGACCCATTGCCACAGGTGTATAAAAGCAGGCACCAAGCCATGCAGTCAGGTTAGCAAACATTTTTGAAAAGAATGGCTTATTCTGAAGACCTCAGTGAAGTGTGGCAGTGTCATAGGATGTCACCTTTGCAATAAGTCAGTTCATGAAATTTTGTCCCTGTTACATATTCCACGGTCAACTGTAGGTGGTATTATTGCAAAGTGGAAGCATTTAGGAACAACAGAAACTCAGCCACAATGTGGCAGACCAAGTCAAGTAACAGCAAGGGGTCATTGAATGCTATGGTGCATAGCACGTAAAAGTCGCCAATGGACTGACTCGATAACTGCAGAGTTCCAGACTTCCTCTGGCATTAACCCCAACACAAAAACTGTGCACTGGGAGCATCATGGAATGGGCTTCAGTGGCCGAGCAGCTGCATGCAAGCCTCACATCATCAAGTGCAATGCCAAGCTTCGGATGGAGTGGTGTAAAGCACGCCATCACTGAACTCTAGAAAAGTGAAAATGTGTTCTGAGGAGTGACAAATCATTCTTCTCTGGCAGTCTGATGGACGAGTCTGGGTTTGGCGGTTGCCAGGAGAGCATTACTTGCCTTAACGTTGTGCCATCTGTAAAGTTTGATGAGAGAGGGACAATGATATGGGGTTATCTATCAGGGGTTGGCCTAGGTCTCTTAATTCCACTGAAAGGAACTCTTACTATTTCAGTATAAAGACATTTGTGATAATTCTATGCTTCCAACTTTGTGGGAACAGTTTGGGGAAGGCCCTTTTTCTGTTCCAGCATGACTGTGCCCCATTGCACAAAGCAAGGTCCATAAAGACATTGTTGGGTGAGTTTGGTGTGGAAGAACTGAACTGGCCTGCACAGAGCCCTGATCTCAACCCCATCAAGCACCTTTGGGATGAACTAGAATGGAGATTCTTCTTGTTCAACATCAGTGCCTGACCTCACAAATACTCTTCTGGGTGAATGGGCAAAAAATTCCCACAGACACACTCCAAAATCTTGTAGAAAGCCTTCCTAGAAGAGTGGCAGCTGTTATAACTGCAAAGGGGGGGCAACTCCATATTGATGCCTATAGATTTAGAATGGGATGTCATAAAGTTCCTGTAGGTGTAATGGGCAGGTGTCCCAGTACTTTTGTCTATATAATGCATATCTCAAGCACGCAGTAATCAAGGACCCAAATTAGGTTCAAGTGCTGCTAGCTTCCGTTCAGTGACCAGTAAGCCAAAGATAGTTGTGTATGAATTGATTAACTGCAGAGATCAAGGGAAAAGTAACATTTTAAAAGAGATTTGTTGTTTTACAATTGATAACAAATTCAATTTCTTTTATTTGTCACCATTTTAATGGCAATTCCAGTATGCACCTTGGTATGTTTTTGTTTTATCATGCTAGATGTTCTTTTCTATATGCAAAATGTTTGAATATACATATTTTCCAATGGTTGTGCTAAACAGTATTTGAACTTTTTTAAGGCTACCTGAAATTTCTGCCTGTTTTTATTCTTTTTTTTAATCTAGGCATATGCACCATTATCTGCTCCTAAAATTTTTCAGAAAGGGTGACTTCTATATCTATTTACATGAATAATATCGGGATCAAACTTCCAGCAGTAGTAGTATTGTATGTGACTGGTGTTCCCACTGACCATGTGCTGAAACACCAGCTTCATTCATCCTGACAGGCTGCAAAGGCATGTGGGAAATCGTTGCCTGCTGGCCCTCAGCCAGGGTGGGGGAGGTGGTCACCATCTCCTGTCCCAAATACTTCAGTTACTTCAGCGACCATCACAAAGGTAAATATGCCTTTAATACTAAAACAGTTGTTAAAAGAAGCAAGTGTGACACTGATTCAATATTAGCCATCAGCAGAAACAATTAAATATTTGTATATTATCTAAAAGAAGTTTAAGAATGATGAAATATTATCCATAAGTAAACATGGGACAGTCATTAAATATTTATCTATAAATTACTGTTCTAGAAATTCTTTGAAAATGTTACAAGTTTATCATTGCAAAATATATACATACTGCATATTTAAGGTCTAAGTCCAAAGAAAATTTAGAAGAAAAAATTCACAGATTAATTGATTGTATTTTTCTGTCTTATTTCTTGCATGTCTTCATAACTTTGAATTTATAAATGTGCTGTTAATGAAAATACTTTTGCCTGTTAAACTTGCTTAATTGCCTTGTTACAAGTAATTTGCGTTTACCGGCATGAAGAATAATATGTTCTGGGGTACTCCTAAGTGCCGTGCGTCTTGATGAAGGCATTGCAGAATGTTTTATTTAACATCATTGGGCATCAGTATGAGGTGAGTGGTATTTTTTTCCCCAGAAGTTTCTCCAGAGAATGAGTTTTGTGCTGTGCTGTCTGGAAACTTAACTAATCAGCTTTTTAAAAAGGATTTTGAAATACGGCAGTGCCTTTTGCAGAGTTCAGGGAACTGGAGTGAAATCGGTATGCGTTGTGTATTGGCCTAAAGCTATAAATCACGTGTGGATTGGCCTCTCCTGCTCACCCTCCCTACATATGTTACCATATTTTGAACTTTTTACCTCAGAACTGTTTAGGACCAGTGTGTGAACACTATTCATGACTGTAAAATAACAACAAGAGGGTTCCCATAGTATGAGTGTTCCATTAAAACGGGGATGTTTTCAAACAGACAAATATTTATTTTCCTATTTGAATATCTTGTATGTAGAGCAGCTGAACATTGGCAAACGGGTTTTTTTGGCCATGACAATGGAGAGTGCTAGAGAAGGTACAATTTAACATATCACTTTGAATTCATTTTGTTCAGAGGGACTGCCACTGGTGTGAGGCTCCAATTCTACCCAATATGCCATTGTACCCCTCAGTACTGCCCACCCCAGCAGCTACAGCAGCATTGTGTTAATTTTGCTAAGTTTTCAGGACACTGACACTTTTTTTGTAGATGGCAGCCAGCACAGGACTCCCAAATCTCCCACTTTACCAAAATCAAACAGGTATGTCTTATTTTGCGAGGAGCCTTTGGGAATCTGCCAGAGAAGAGGTAACGTTCAGCAGCCTGCAAAGGCTACCGGGGGGGGGGGGGGTAGTGGGGATGATGGATTATAGCGACTGAGCAGTTCAGCAAATGGCAGCAGAAACTCCTCTGTCAGCTTTTTGGCTGGTCAGGTATAGGAATCAAACCTTGTTCATTTCCCCAGGAGTAAATAGTGACTTGCTCTAGCCCTTAGCCATGTGGCTCAGCATGTTATGGTGCTGCGCCTATGATTGGAACGTCGTCTGTTACTCCAGGGACTGGCTGATTCTGCTCCCTAAAAAGAAGGACCTACTTTGGATAAAACATCTGCTAAATAAATAAAAATGTAAAATCCAACACTGAACTTGATAGGGTAGCCCTTTCAAACACCATAATTTTTCTGGTGGTCTTGCTGAAAGGCAGTGTTATTGCAATGGAAATTTGTCAACTTTCAAACCACCCCAGTTTAATCAGGAAACCCTTATGATGAACATGTCTGACTCGGACCAAAATATTTGGTCTTGCTCTCTGTTTCAGCCAGGAGGCCCTCTTTGTAGCTGTCGTTTATTCATTGGATGTTTAGGTATGAAACCGACCGTGCTCTTCTGGGGAAACCACCGTACAGCGAATTTACACCCCTGGTGATATGAACCAGCTGCTGAATCCCAGGAAATTGCACTGCGTTCCGAGTCTGGATGGATATGCAGAGGCAGCTAGCTGTGTCCATTTCTGGGGAGAGGAGGATAAGACGAGACAACCCAGTCAGGAACTTTATGCCATTTGTGGAACAAAACTCAAACAAAAACAATGGTGACTTGCCCTTTAAATCAGCAGACCATGGAAAGATGTCAAAACAGGCGCTGAAATGCCCTGGTAACACAAACTAACAGTCGCCTGTGGTAGGTACTTTTCATATAGCTGGAAGCAGCTTCGTTACCTCATCTTCCATCTGATTTTTCTCTGTGCTTAGTCTGTGATGAAAAACTCAAAAGGAATTTGTCAGCGAATCCGTCTAAATTTGGCCACTTGCCATATTGGCTCTCATGCTACAAACTACTGACAAAACGCAACCACGTGCTGCTGAGAAAAAGCATGAAACAGAAGAGAAGATGGATAAGCTGAAAGTAGGAAGGTTTGACATGACTCGTGGACAAAAGATTTTTTCTTTATATTGTCATCACTACATCCCAGGTAAAACTGAATTCTTAAGAAATGGGAACCAAAAACCTAACAACCAACGTCATCAATTGCCACCAGCAGTACATGGCTGCAGAACCGGACAAAACAGGCCCTGTAACATAGTGTTGTGATGAAGGTTTTTACATCACGCAGCTGGCCTGGCCAAAGAATTCAATTATTTTTTTAGTATTTTAGTATTAGCATGAAGGACAGCTAGTTCTATGACTATGTTTGTCTGTCTGCCTTTGAAAAGCTCAAATACAACCTTTAAAAAAGATTTGGATATACTTCCAACTGTTTTCAGTTTGCATGAAAGTATTTGAAGGTATTTTTTTCTTAATTGTTCACCACTGCGTTCTAAATGATGCTGCAAACATTACCTGGGCACAGCTTCATAATCCTTGTTTTAACTAATACAATCCAAGCAAGCAATTCAAATAATAATTAAAAAAATAGAAACCTACTTCCTGTATCTGGTTGTGCACCGGTGTAGAAAATTGAATGGATATCAATGACTGAAACATTTTTGTCTAATATTACTGATGCCCAGTGCTGGTCTAAGCCCAGGAGGTGCCCAAGGGAAATGTCGGCTTGGCCGGTGATGCTGCACAGAATCCCAGGATTGACAGCTAAAATCAAAAGATTTAGTTAGCAGCTCACGGGGAAGCTGATGGAGAGCAATGGCAGGGAAATTATTACTTGGTTCATTTCGTTTAAAATTGCATCCAGAGGGAAGTATAAATATGATTTAAAAAAATATTGTGAAATTGCAATATTAGTTTTGTTTTATTGAAGGTTAATATCTTAAAATGAAGATTTCCAGTTAAGTGCACTTTCAGTGGTTGTCAGGCTTCTGATTTTAGAGCCACTTGCTAAATAGGCTTTAGATTTACAGTGTGGATGTCAGGATCCTCCAAATTCCATTACATAAAGCTAATGTCCACTTTCATTTTGGGGGGGGGGTGACAGGGCTATCTAGGAAGTAGGATAAAATGGTTGCAAATAATATAATACATTTTTTAAAAAGAGATAAATTGGATGTGAATGTACAGAGAAATGCAATGCAGAAACACACACACACACACACAGAGGTTTGTAATTATATCTTTGTGGGGACTCTCCATTTATTTCTATGGGGAAAACACTAATCCCCTCATAACGACCTTAACCCCTACCCAGCCCAAACCTTGACCATAAGTAGCCAAACAAAATTTGAGACTTGGCATTTTTGATTGCATTCACAGATCTTTGTGGGGATCTGAAAATAACAGGTTTTTATCACATTGTGGAGGGACATTTGGTCCCCCACAATGTAATAAACCTAATACACACACACACACACACACACACACAACCCATTTATAACATTAATAATGTTCTGTAGTGGTTGCAATACATGGTATTTGGTATTTTTCAAATTTACAATCATGAGAATGGCCGCAAAAACAAATCAGGCATTTTTTTTTGTCTTTTTAAAGAGGTCAGATCATATGGCATCAACGTACCAGCAGTCAAAACGGTGATTTATTTTTTTCGTTCATTAAACTATGGCCACCTGTCCGATGGACAACTTTTATTGTCACATGCCCTGCCCATCAGGCACTTGCAGTACTGATTACCGATAGCTGTTAATCTTTGAACTCTGCAAATCTGGTTAAAACTGATATCAGTGAAATTACTTCTTGAGATCTCGTGAATGTGTGTGGCAGCCACATCACATAACATGGGCAGTGAGATATCGGAAAAGTGGTGCTTTGATGGGAGACTGTAACAAGGTTCTAAGTGGTGAAAGAGCCAACAAAATCTGTCATCCTCCAGTATGGACCATGGCTGATCATCCAATGCAGTCATCTCTGTTATTTTACTAGTTATGGTGCTGCTAACTTTGAAAAATGACTGTGGCATAGAATGAGTGTGGCATGGAATGGATCACTGAATAGTGGCAACCTGGTAATAATTCCCTTTGAATAATAGTGTCACTTGTAGAGCTAGCAATAAAGTACAAACATACTGTAGGTCTATCCATCTTCTAAGACTGTCTCTCCAGTACAGGGTGGTGGTGGGCCTGTAACATGGAGGAAGCACAGAGGGGCAAGGAGATATCATGCCAGGAGTGGCATGGTTGGTAGGACCTTGGCCTTACAACCTCAGAATTAGGGGATGGAATCCCAACTCCACTGTATGCTTATGTGTGTTTGTTTGCATGCTCACTCTCTGTTGCACAGTTTCTTTCAGGTATCCTGATTTTCTTCTTCAGTAAAAAGACTAGTTCATGTCTCTAAAATTGCTCCTAAAGTATTACTGAATCCCATCCTGGCCAGGTTGTGGACAGGGACAGCCCCTTACGTTTCATGTATTCCAATACTATTTTATGTCCTTCATAAGTTGCAAAATAAAACAACTGTCCTGATATAGCAAAAGCACCCACATTTTACAAATGGCTGTTTTCTCAATATCCACAACGGTAGATTAAATAAATTGACCAGTGGCTGGGCTACTTACGTATGGTATGAATAGTACAATTCAATGATGGTTCAACTATTTAGCTTAAACACAGCAATTCCACAGATAATCATATATTATTTATTTTAAATATGCAGATACTATGTTGGTGTATTCCCAGGGGTCTTGGGGGTTACCTGTGAGTGAGAGTCGGGTATTTAGAGATCAGGTAATCATCCTTCAGTAGTGCAGTGGTGACACTGGAAATTTTTGATTGGGATTGCTAAGGTGGAACTTGAGTACGACTTGCAGCCATGGTATTTAGGCTCTGAGTAATAGGGAAAGGTCCATAAATCAAAACCGTATACTCAATTCAGTATTTTGGTTGCCTCAATGTGTGTGTGGGGTGTTGAAGGAGGAGTTGCACTCACTGCTGCCTAGTTCAGGATTACGATATCAGTAGGCTGGTCGTGGCTGCTGGGGAAGACAGTGCTGGGCCCTGTTCCTAAGCTGCTGTTCCACTGACTTCCAGAAGTACCTGATCATTATCATCAGGGTTGGAGGAAACAGTAAGGGCTGTACTCTCTCTCAAACGTTCACACACAGAGTAGGTCAGAGTGCTAAAAAGGAAAGAACTGTACCTGAATTGCTGTGGTTAACTGAGACGCCCTGGTTCTCTCTAGACTGCCAGTGGGACAGGGAAATGCCCTCTTCAAGGCTGGCCTCACTCAGGTGGGGTTGAGCCTGCGAGGGGGCAGAGTCGGAGGGGTCCGAGGGCTGCGGGGCTGCATGCATGCAGGCGTGGGCCTCGGGGGCAGCGTGGACCAGCAGTAGCAGCCAGGCCTGCACCGCCAACACCACTGCCTGCTCCCTATCTTCCCAGGCGGAGGACAAGCCAAGCGCCATATTGCCATAAAGGTAGAATGTGAGCCAGGTGGCCCACAACAGGCAGGAGCTGAGGCAGGTGGCGAGCAGCCAAGCAGCGTTGCATCGCCACTGCGGCTGCACCCCAGACAGGCTGCAGGCTGCACCAGCCAGTGCCACTAGCAGCAGGAGCAGCACGTAGGTGCAGATCAACCCCAAGTCCAGTGAATTGTACTTGCAAGCCGCAAGGTCCTCAGGCATCACATTCAGCAGCAGCCATGCAGGAGCCACCAGAGCCAAAAGGGCCGCCAACCCTGCCAGGGCCCTGCCACTGGGGCTAAGGGCACCCTGCACCAACCGCTGCAGTCGCACACCCTGCGACACCAGGCATCCGAAGCACATGGCGAGCAGCGTGCCCCAGGTGGTGCGCCGCGCAATACAAAGACGCTTTTCACGCTTGATGAGGTAAGCAAAGCTGAGGCCACAGAGCCCGAGGATGCCGGCGAGGAGCAGAAGCAGTGGCGCCACCCCGCTGCGCTGGTCGGGCGCTGTGATGCGGCGCAGACAGAACAGCAGCACGAGGGCCAGGATCATCGATGCCAGGGCTGCCCCACTCGCCACCGTCATCACTGCCACGTCCCACACCACATCCAGGTCACAAAAGGCCACGTAGGGCCTCTTCAAGAAGGTGCCGCAGTCACGAGGAGGAGCTTCATCCACAGCGAAGCCGCTGCCCACCAGAGAGAGGATGAGGAAACCACAAAGGACTGCAATCACTAACACAGAGAAAGAGAGAACAGGATAATTTTATGGGTGGCTAAGGCATTAATTCATTAAAAACAGTGTGTAGGACCCATTACAGGCCACAAACTGCCTGTCCAGACATGCAAGTAACAGACTCCAAGTGTATGAGACTGTGTTTATTTTTCAGGATAAACTCAGCACAGTTAATTTGAAGGAGCTGCTTTGGACAAAATGTAAAATGTTGAGGGCTAAAGGACTCCTTCCACAAGCACTGTATGTTGTAAATAAATGATGAAAACAAAGGCATGATATGGCAGTAACAACCACAGATTTGCAAGTGAAAACTAACGACTAAAAGCTGTGAGACCACTGTAAGGATTAGGAGAATTCAATTTCTGATTTTGCAGAAGTTAGAATTAGTTTAAAAAGTGCTGTTTAATAAGCTGTATCTAGATGAGAGGAGTCAAGGTACCAGCCAGCCACTGTTTTTGTGTCTGTGTGTAAGCATTATAAAATCTGACCTGCCAATAAATAGGTCTAAGTACGCAAGCACGTCAGTATTGTAGACGGGGGTGGGGAATGACGAGTTTAACCGTCGGCTGTTTGGCGGGTTATGGGTATCTTGTTTTCTTTTTCGAAGAAAAATAACCTAAATGGCCCGCATGATCTGAAGACCTCGTAGCCGGTTATTTGAGCTTAAGCTCTCTGGTCTAAACGAAGTACAGACGCGGCATTACCTCGATCGTCCGTATCAGTCGTTTTCACCACGTGCCTGTGCTCCTATTCAGTTAGACTTTGAAAAACTCCGATATAACCTTTGGATAAAACCCGAATATAATTTCGACTATAAATAATAACGTCTTTTCGGTTTGCATTAAAGTATTTTAAAATGTTTTTTTTTTCTCGTAATAGTGTATTTCTTGTGATGCTCCAAAAGTTACCCCCCCACCCCCTTTCCGGTTTCACGGTCCATATCGTAACGAATACTATCCAAGCAAACAAATTAATTAAAAACAAAATACTATCGAAACCTACTTGTTGTAGTTAAGGGTGCACCGATGTGAAAAAGTTGGCGAATACTGTTGACTGAAATACTTTTTGTCTAATATTAACGACGTCCCGTGCTGGTCTAAGCTCAGGTGGCGCCCAGGCGAACGTCGGCTAAGCCGGTGATGCTGCGCTGAATCCCGGGTTTGGGAGCTAAAATCAAAAGATTCACTTAGCATCTCACGGGGAAGCTGATAGGAAATTAACATTCTTATTTTAATTTCGCCTTAAAATTGCCAGATGGAGACAGAAATAAGATGAGTATATCGCGCTTTGAAATATAGACTTAGGCCGTATGCAAATACCTTAATATGATTATCTTTACGGTTATTAAGTGCACTTTTAGTGATTGTCAGGCTTCTGTTTTAGAGCCATTCGCCAAATAGGCTTTAAATTCACAGGGTTCCCCAAATTACATTAGGCAAAACAAGCGGGGCTGGGGGGTCGGGGGGTATGTAGGAAATAGGTTAAAATGGTTATTAAAATAATGTAACGTAATATATTCAAAATTACCACTGACATTTCAGTCTATCAGTTGTTTTGGGAATTTTCTCATGAAAAGAAAACCCCCTATGAACCCATATGAATGAAAAATATGTTGATATGGTGGGAAAATCTGTGCCCATTTAACGTTAAATTAAACGTATGTCAACAATTAACTTATTCTTATTGTGATCTCACTGCTTTTAGTTATTAGTTTTAGCTTGTAAATGTGATAATAATCTGATAATGTTTAGGCAGGCAGCGCTGTTTACAAAAAATTACTGCTTAATAAGCTGCATCTAAACCAGGGGTGTCAAGGTATCAGCTTGCAATGTGTTTTTAAATCATTATTAAATTTGACCTGCTGGTTCCTAAATAAACAGGCCTAAGTAAATAAGCAGGTAAGTATAGTGTCTCCCCTCCCTGGTCTGCAAGTTTTACCTTTGGCTGTTTGCAGGTTTGTGCGTATCTTGTTTTTTTCTATTTTGTCTAAAAATTTAAGTGGCCCGCATGAACTATTGGACCAGGGCATTGGACATTCAGGAGGGGCTCCAAGCAGAGCCGCAGTTCCCTGGGGAGGTGTTTTGGGCGTGTCCAACCCGGGAGGAGGCCCCGGGCAGACGCAGGACATGCTGTATCTCTCGGCTGGCCTAGGAACGCCTTGGTATTCCCCCTGAGGAGCTGGAGGAGGTGGCTGGTGAGAGGGAGGTCTGGGCATCCCTGCCTAGATTGCTGCCCCCATGACGCAACCGTGGATATGCGAAAGAGAATGAAATGGAAGGAATAATTATATTAAAAACAATAGGGTTTCAGCACCACGTGCTTGGACCCCTAATAACTGTCAGGATCAGTGCTCGTATGGCCCTGTCCCTTGTGTCTTCTGCCTGTTTGGCCAGCAGTTCTTCCTGACCATCCCGTCTAGTTTTACCCTAACATGTTTCCTCACTCACCAGGCTGCTCTGTGGCTTAATGGGCTAAGTGGTTGGCCATCATCCAGCTTTCCTGTTTTGTTGTGGGTTCGAGGATGGCCAGTGGCCAGTCTCAACAAGTTGTGTTTTAACATTTATTTTGTGTTTTCTTGGGTTATCATAGCACCCTGTTCTATGTGTGTAGTGTGTTTTCCTAATTTTAGTTTTCCTTGGTCTTTGGACCTCTCTGTACCTTATGATTGATTGTGCCACCTATTTCTTGTTGATTCAAGTCCTTAGTAATCGGTTACGGTTCTCACCTTGTCTGTCACCTAGTCCTCTTATCAGTGTATGTGCCTGCCTTTGATCTGTTCCAACAGTTGGTCATTATGTTGGCACAGGGTGTTAGTTCCTGTGTTACTTAGTGTTCTGCTTCTTGCTCGGTCCCCACATTTCTTAGTTGTAGTGTTAGTGTTTTTTTTGTCGTTTATTTTAGTTGGTTTTTGTTTTACCCATTTTGTTTTTGTCCCTTTGCAGTCCCCATATTTTCTGGTTCTCCCTTTGTGTTCTATTGAGTTAATAAAACTATGTGTATCGCCTGTCTGATCCCCATGCTCCGCTGTAACTACAATAACATTATTATTATTTTTGTTTTTGTTTGTTTGTTTGTTTGTTTGTTTATTATTTCCTCCTGCAGTAAAAAGCCTAATTGGTGTTTCTAAATTTGCCCCAAAAGTATTCTTGAGAATACAAGTTTGCATCCCATTGTATTCCAGCCTAGTGTCCTCTGCTGGGATAAATTCCAGGTCTCTGTGACCCTGACCAGCATAAGCAGTTAGAAGATGGATGGATTACTGTTTGCCCACTCAGTAGCCAGTTTATTCAGCACAACTAACTCCTACTGTATCGGACCCAGATGTGTTTTAGAAGACTTTCCTCGCCATTTTTCTTTAACTATTGGCCGTGCTGTTAGCTTTAACAGGTCTAGTCTTTCTGCTTTGATTTCTCTCATTAAGCTGTTTTTACCCACATGACCATGACTCTTCTTTGTTCAACACCCTTTTTGTAGAAGCAGTTCATCTTTATCGACAATGAAAGTGATGGGCAGGACACAGAATAAATTACAGAAATGATAAATGTACTATCTAAAAATGCAAAAGAAAAATAAGATCAGAAAAAATGGGTGGGTTGTGAAATGTGAAATATGGATGTGGGGGAGTGATTATGGTTTGCACAAAGGAATAAATGAGTAAACATTGTTTGAGCCAAGCTTGGCTGGAATGGAAGAGGATGTCCATGGGCACTGTGGCTTTAAAGGCCTGTTTACAGTAGCTGCAGAAGCTGGCAGGCATGGTGACCGCTGATGGTCCACTGAGTTGAACAAAAAAGACAAGTTCAGACTTGCGTGCAATCTTGGGGCAATGGGAACTGTTCACGGGTAATTAATTCGTTAATTTCAAAGCTGTGCGTGTGGCCGGGGGGGCTGCAATATGTGTGAGTGTGTGACAGAAGGTTCCAGAATTGTTGAACGCCAAAAAACGAACAAAAAAAGGTTCATTTTATTTTTCCATTGTTTCTCAAATGGTCTGAGCTGGTTTGTTACCAGAGCAGTCCGACAACCTAAGGACATTCAAAAGCAGAATTTTAGGAAGAAAGCCTTCATCTAGGCATTCCCAGTTTCTTAAAGTGCTTGTGGGGTAGTTGGCTGTGGCAAATGCAACAGGTGGGAAAACCAAATGAGCCGGCATAACAAATGATAAATAAGCTTTCAATGTTCCAGTCCTCAGCCACAAACAGACCAGGGAGGAACTGGATCATCATCATGCAGCTTGTTGACCATACAGTATGTACACTTTGCAACCTCTTAAATCACCTGTTAAGACAGCAGAAGATGGTATCTCACTGAAAGTCAATCAGACTGAGTCTGTTTTTCTTATCTGAGAGTACTAGCAAGGAGACACGCACAGATCATTAGTGTTGGAATTGGATATCTGAAGGTCAGTAGTTCAGTGTCTGAAAACAGAAGGGAGGGAGCTGGTTCTCTACATTTCTCAAAGTTGTTCGTTCAAATCTGTTCTGTGTAGGAATCTCATTACAATTATTCTCACTGGACAGAGGAAAATAAACCCTAATAGGTTCATTTTGATCTTAACGGCTGCTCTTTGTTTGGTTTCCTGAATTTGCTTCTAGTAATTTCTCTGAAGATTTGTTAGTGTCATGCCCCGCTCGTCCTTTCCTCCCGTGTGCCACGCCCCCTCATCTATCCCATATGGAATCCCCATGTTTACCAGCTGTTTTCTGTTGATGTCATTACTCTTACGTATTTAACTCTGCATTAAGTTTGTTTCCCCAGTCCGGTCATTGTAATGTGGTTTCGCGTTTGTTGCCTATTCCTTGTTGATCCATACCGATTAAACCCCGTATTCCCCGATTCTCTGTCTCCCTGCTCCTGCTTCCCCGGTCCATGCGTGACAGTTAGACTGGTAAAGCTAATATAGTATAGCTGTGGCAGGCCTTGTGTCAGGTGATAGCTTAGAAAGAAGCAGGAATTCAGTTTGTGTCAAATGCCACAGATTATGTAATCACCATAGGATGATGCCCTTTTCTGTCTCTGATAGACTCTAAGTCAAGCCGTGAACCTGGACTGGATGGATGTATGGATGAAACAACTGTGTTTTACTCTGTTGATTACAAATGAACCGAACTGCAATTAGGCTATAGCCTCCATGGTGGACTCAGCAATGTAGTGAAACCTAGACTGATCCTCCATATCATTAAACCTGCCTAATATTGTGTAGATCCTCCTCATGCTGCCAAAAACAGCTCTGATCTGTTGAGGCATGGACTCCACAAGACCTCAAACGGTGTCCTGTTGTATGTGGCATCAAGACATTAGCAGCAGATCCTTTAAGACTTGTAAGTTGCAAGGTGAGGCTTCCAGGGGTGGGACTTGTATGTACAGCACATCCCACAGATACTTGATCAGTTTTTGGAGGCCAAATCAACAATTTCTGAACATTTTTTTCCAGTGTGGCAGGGCACATTATCCTGCTGAAAGAGGCCACTGCCATTGGGGAATACTGTACCTGTTGCCATGAAGAGGTGTACAACAATGTTTAAGTAGGTGGTGTGTGTCAAAGTAACATCCATATGTATGCCAGGACCCAAGGTTTCCCAGCAGAACAGCCCAGAGCATCACACCAGGCCACCTTCTATTGCTCCATGGTCCAGTTCTAATACTTGTGCCCATTGTAGGCACATTTGGTGGTGGACAGAGGTCAGTATGGATACTCTATTTGTCTGTGGCTACACAGCCCTGCGCGCAGCTGCAACCTATCATAGCCAGCATGAACTTTTTCAGCAATTTATGCCACCGTACAGTAGCTCTTTTGTGGGAGCGGACCAGACAGATTAGCCGTTGCTCCTCATGCACATTAGTGAGTGTTAGGTGCCCATGACCCCACTGTCAGTCCACCGGTTGCCCTTCCTTGGACCTCTTTTTGTAGGTACTGACCACTGCATACCGGAAACACCATAAGATCTGCCGTTTTGGAGCTGCTCTGACCCAGTTGTCCAGCTGTCGTAATTTGGCCCTTGTCAAAGTCGTTCAGATCTTTATGCTTGCCAATTTTTCTTGCTTCCAACTCAACAACTTCAACAACTGACTGTACACTTACCTAATATATAATGGTACCCTTGACAGGTGCCATTATAACAAGATAATCAATGTTATTCAATTCACCTATCAGCGGTTTTAACATTATGACTGATCTATGCATCTCTGGGCAAAAAGAAATTAATCTTGAAATACATACATACTGGACAAAACTCATATACTTACTCACACATAAAATGGGTCATTTAAAGATGTCATTTAGCCTCTGCATGGCTTTGGACTATGGAGGAGATTGTAGCTGTGGCACAAGAATTTCGCTGTGCTCTTTGGAACACAGGCAACTTTAATTCTTGAAACTGAGTACCTGGAGGAGCTCCAGGCTCACGGAACACAGTCGTCGATGGTTGGTTGTGGGAGATGGATGGAAAGGGAATGATCATTGTACTGTAGGAGGAAGGTGGAGTATTGGAACCCATGTAGCTCCTGGAAGAACATGCAAACTCCACACATACAAAGGTGGGCTGGGAATCCAACCGCTAACTTGTCTTTTATTGTTTTTATTAATTTTTTCCCTTTTAGGTAATCTCTCAAAGGTTTGCAGAGCTGAAGGCTGGACAGAAATGGACCCCATCACCATAGTCCGGAACTGTGGTTACAATAGTAGCAGTGATGATGTAAGTATGCCAGTCGGTATGTACCATATGGTATGGTCTCAAGGTATGGACATAACTTCACATTTGTGTTTTCTTCCATTTTATCTGATGCCAACACTTAACATTTAACACTCAACATATATATTAACATTTAATACATGAAGTACATGGAACTGAGATTATATGGCATGATATCATTTTTTCTGGTCTGATCCCCATACTGATATTAAACATTTTAGTATCTGCCAATACAGATACCAATCCAATATTATCAACTATCAAATATTAAGCATTAAATGAAGTATTTGTATCAATACATTTCAGTTAACATGACAAACTATCTTCATTTAGCATTTTAATGGAAATAAGTATGGTAAGTATAGAAAAATATAATGGTCACATTGCTCAAACGAAAGCTATGCTACTACGCTATGGGACAAAATACATGGCCAACCTGTTTTACACGAGTCTGCTATTTTGTTTTATTTAGTAACAATTTTCACAAATATGAACAGAAATATTTCTTAAAGTGCAAATTGTGCAATCTGTTGCCAAATTAAAGAAATCAATCATAAAAATATATCTGTATACCCCAACTACTCATTTCTAGTCAGAAGTCTCCAGTACACAATATACAATGGAACACAGGTGAAACTTCGAAGTCGTGAATCTTTAGAAAGAAAACACATGTGAAGACATCTATTTTGTATAAATGTTACGGTGTTCGGTTACGGACGGGCTTGATGAAGGATGGTTCACAAGGATGGGACTTTATTAAACTAAAAAAACACAAAAAAACAAAAACAAAGCAGGCAAAAGATAAAAACTAAGAAAGGGGGCAATACAGGAACAGCCTCACTAGAACAGATGCAAACACAGGGCAACAACAGCTACAAAAACACAACGACCAACTAAGGAACAAGGGCAAGGGCAGGCACATAAATACACAGATAACAAGTGTAAAACAAGGGACAGATGTGGGCCAGTTACAAGCAAATTCTAGGACTGGGAACAACAAGACACAGGCAAGGGTCATAATCATGGACTCAAACACTAGGAAAGGGTTGACCAACGACACCAACTGGCCAGGCAGGGGCTAATCCTGACAGTGTTCAGGAATCAGGACTAGCCTTACATACATTGCACTCTGCAGTTATGCTTTTTTTTTCTTCAGCTTACAGTACAGTAAGCCCTTCACATTCACAAGGACAAGGGGTGGAAACTCCCCGCATAGCCGTCTGCTTACCTGGGATGGATTTCCCTAAAGCAGGGTTATTCAACTCACGGTCCTTGAGGTCCGAGCACTGCTGGTTTTCCAGCCTTCCTTTACCTGTCAGTCAGGTGTGAAGCCTCTGACCAATCAGAATCAGTAATTATTAAACAACTACCTGGGAGAACTGAAAACATGGCCTGGATTTGGAATCGAGGTCCAGAGTTGAAGAACCCTGCCCTAAAGCTTTGTAATGCTAGGTAGTTCATTTATCTAGCACTTATGATCAATTGTTAATTAACAAGTGTTTCTCGAATCGCTTCATAAGTAAAGTAGTTTGTAATCTTGCTCAGAAATTTGCAAGCGCTCAGACCCACTCATGATTTTCTATATCCTTCTTTATTTGAACTTTTGCCTGCTGTGCTGTCACAGAGACACAGAGATCACCCAAAAATAGATCATAAAAACACATTGGAACTCTATTTTGGACATCGTAATGATGAAATAATAATAAGGGATCAATGTTGCCATATAAAAGCCTATAATGTAGGCTGTAAATTAGTGCAAAGGAGCTCACTGTTTTAAAATTCCATCAACCCCACAAAAATTTACGCCAGTAAAAAGGCCCCATCACATATGCCACCCTGTTTGAACATCTGTCAGTGTTATTCAAAATGAAAAAATGCCACATTTGAAATGTCACCTATAGAATAAATAATTTAACTCTCATTTTGTGTACCTTGGTGGAAGGGCACTTCAGCCGTACAAGTAACCCTATCACAACCCTATCCATCTGACAACTCATGGGCACAAAAAAAGCTACTGCAGAATCCTCACAAATGCAAACACACATACAGTTGAATATTCAAAACTAATAAATATTTGAATATACATCTGCCATTTAGAAAGTAAATCTGTTATATAATTATTAATTTTTTGCTAGATTAAATTACATTCCTGTGTTGTGAGACTGCATTGAGTTTCTTTGAAATTAAATTAATTAAAATATTCTTCCTCTTATTCAAATTCAATTCGACAATCTTACAGGGTGTGGCCAATTCAAATACCAGTTCACGAATTGAATACCTTAATACCTTCTACTTAACTTTGGGAAAGACTACTTGGGGCATCATTTTATGGTACCTAATGATGCACATTATAACCCAAGTGAGAAGGCAGTTTTCTCCATTAAATTCTTCCTAATGAATGCTCTGATCCACATGTCACATAGAGCTGCCCATTAAAATGGCATAATAGGGAAGTCCAGAGGTTTTTGGGGGGGTGGGTCATGAGCAGAGAATCATGAAGAACCATCTCTGTCAAAAGAGTGAACGAGCTGTCATGTGGTCACCCATTTAAATTTGGCTTGTTCCTACATTATTGCACCAAATTAAATATGCATGGATGGGTGTTGAAAAAGTCTCAGCAGAAACATGAAGAAATGTGGACAATGGGCCTGTCGGGAAGTTAAACTATAAACTGTTTGAATTCAACACCAGAATGACAACCAGAGAGCCAATTTACATAAGAAAAGAACTTCACATTATGCTGTTCTGATTGCTTGTTTTAATTTGCTTGAATTATGGTTTGGTGCCGTGGCTCAGTGTGTACTGTTGCCTCCACCTACACGGTTTGGAGCTCTGCTCAGTGTTTGTGAAGTTATGGGTTTTTCTCCTGCTGTCCAAAGACATGCCATTAGGCTGACTTGTAATCTTTAAATTGCCCATAGAGTATAACTGTGTGTGAGCGTGTGTCCTGCAGTGTATAGGAATCCCATGCCGGGTGTGCCCCATCCTCCTGCAATGTGTGGCCTGGGATATTATTATTATTGTTGTTATTTATTATTATTGTTAATAACAAATTATTCTCACAATTGTTTTGTAAATGATAAAGAGTGAGAAAAGTGATGCTTTGACAGGTGAGCTTTGACTTACCATACAGGTAGCTGTGATACACAGACAATCTCATTTTTGATCCATTAATGAAGGTGGAAATTATCAAATAGATTTAGTACAATTTCAACTACGGCAGCATATCCCAAGTGTTGAACTAAGTACGTGTTGAACGTTGCTATATAATATGGGCCAAAAGATTAAACTATGACATTTTATGTAGTGCAGTGGCATAACTTGGACTGTTTTATGGTGGCTGTTTTGTGGGGGTCCCCCTAAAATGTTCTTTAACTGTCCTCCCCAAATAAATGTAGACTAATTAATAGTGTGCTAAAATCAGACCCTTCTATTAAAGGTTTGCCCCCCTCCTTCATAAATCTCTAGTAACACTCCCGATACGGTGCTGTTTCTCTTTAGTAACACTCCCGATACGGCGCTGTTTCTCTCTAGTAACACTCCCGATACGGCGCTGTTTCTCTTTAGTAACACTCCCGATACGGCGCTGTTTCTCTATAGTAACACTCCCGATACGGCGCTGTTTCTCTCTAGTAACACTCCCGATACGGCGCTGTTCCTCTTTAGTAACACTCCCGATACGGCGCTGTTTCTCTCTAGTAACACTCCCGATACGACGCTGTTTCTCTTTAGTAACACTCCCGATACGGCGCTGTTTCTCTATAGTAACACTCCCGATACGGCGCTGTTTCTCTCCAGTAACACTCCCGATAGGGCGCTGTTTCTCTCTAGTATCACTCCCGATACGGCCCTGTTTCTCTCTAGTAACACTCCCGATACGGCGCTGTTTCTCTCTAGTAACACTCCCGATATGGCGCTGTTTCTCTCTAGTAACACTCCTGATACAGTGTTGTTTTTTATGTCTCAAAGGGTACTTTTTTTTGGACAGTGAAGATTGGATATACCATTGGCCACAGTGTGTCCTTGATCTCTCTCACTACGGCCATCATAATTCTCTTTGTATTCAGGTAACACTTTATTTTTCATTCCCGAGATTTTGGGCAATTCCTTCATTTAATGTGCAGTGACATGTAAAATCATGATAATTTCTATGCTGAACTGTGAAATGATGTGGGGTGGGGTGCTTGGGTGTAAGAGTTCAAAAAGTCTGTTTACTTCCTTGATATTTACAGTAATCAAGAAAATGTGTTTTTTCACCTAAACTATGATAGATTGCTTGCTTAGTTACTATAGACAAATATAACATTACGTTCACACATTGGTGGTTAGTTAGAGAGGAAAAAGCTCACATTCCCAGCTTGTAGAGTCTTTGAGTTTTTTGTTTAAAACTTACAGCAGCGATGAGTTGATATTAATGCAATCTGCTCCCTTTCCCATGCTGAAAGGCAGGGTCTAGACAAGTCAATGTGTGTATAATAGGAGCAGGGTCTGAATATAGGGAGGTGGGGGCCCTGGGCTAAAGCCATTGTTGGGGCCCTATCTACAGCATAAAATGCTGCTGTAACAACCAGAAAAAAAATTTGAGGCCGACTACACCTTGGGGCCCTGGGCTATATAGCCCATGTTAATCTGTACATGTGTCTCAAGTAGGACAGAGTAACAATAAATGCAGGGGCTCCTGATCTCACTGTTGTGGGCTATACAAAAACTGGTTCAGAGAGAAACTAATTGAGAAACATCTAGGTTATATAGAGTATAATTATATGCATGTGTTTGTGCCCTGCTATATAATTCCACTTGCAAGACTTTGAACATCAAATTCAATTTCCTGGTTTCATTACCAGTTAAAATATGTTCTTTGTACCAGCAAGCAGAAGTATTTGCAAAGCTTGAGTGTGTGTCTCTGCGCATTTCTTTGCTCCTCAGAAAATTGTACTGCACCCGGAACTACATCCACATGAACCTGTTTGTGTCATTCATCCTGAAAGCCATTGCTGTGTTCATCAAGGATGCCATCCTGTATGAGGTTGGGGAACCTGAGAACTGCCCCTCCAAAACGGTAAGATGTGAGTCGTAGCCCAGCAGAGGGCAACCTCGAGCATAAACATGGAGACGGCTCAGCCAGTGCAGCTTAGCAGCTGTTTAGCTGTTTTAACATTAAGGCTATACCTCTCAGGCTGCCAGTCCTTCTATTAGGTAAAGGCCAACCACGCTGATGGTCCAGTTTTTGTTTCCATTTATCTGGTCTTTAAGTGTTTATGTCATTTTGCAGGAGGTTCTGGAGCCTATCTCAGATATAATAGGGCACAAGGCAGCAGTGCACCCTGGGGTGTCAATCCACCACACGGCACATGCACGTACTCACACTTTGGGCAGTATAGGGACCTTGAACATCTAACCCTGGAGATCTGAGGTGATACCACACTCTTGAAAGTCAGCCACAGTTTCTGATATAACAGCATGGGCTGTGATACTGTTCAATGTTGGGATCCCTTAGAGGTGCTCGGTGACTATTTCATGACGGGCACCCTCTCACCCTCTCACAAGATGGTGCCCCAGGTAGCTGCCCAATCGGACCTGGACGACGGGCACCCTGGGAGGTATAGTCCTGTTTAGGGCTAAGCATTTATTCCAGAGCAGTTGTCCACAATGTTTTTGGTCACCGCAAATGGCTGCCGGGAGAGGTTCAGCTGTTTGTCATCAAAACATCTGTCATGGTTATGCCTCGTAAACTAAGACTGTCCTGCCACCATCAGCAACCCCCAGGCTGCCTTTGAGCTGTGTACATGTGGGTGAAAACACGCACGGCCTGGCTCTTCTCAGGCAGCATGTGCTTAGTCACGGCTGAAGCTTTGGCAACAAGCCCTTGCTGAGAAAATGAATGAAGTTAGCCTCTGTTAGTTGCATGTCTTCCTTCTCCTATGGCAGGAAAATGCGAAAGGTGTTTGAGATGTACTCTGGTGCTTGATTAATCCACTATATGCATCATTGGCAAATGGACTTGTCAGACTTTCCAGTATCTCAGGTTGCCTAGAGGAGACAAACTTATCTTCTTTGTGTTATTGGTGGTTTTGTGTCACCAATCTGTAACAGGAACCGCTTGTTCAACATGCTACACCCCAGTGCAGACTTGCATGGGATAAACGGCATTCAGAAAATGGGATAATAGCATGTGCTCTGACAGACATATTTATTGGGATTTGGGGAATGAGAACAATCCACCGAATCATGACATTTTCTTCTCTTCAGCTTGCTATTCCAGGTAGTAAAGCCTGACAGGCATTACTCACAATGATTGCAGATCATTGGACAGAATTTCAATTTATTACTGTAGGATTTATGAACAGAGGATCCAGAAGAAACTGAAAAGAATCTGAATCTCATTACCAATGTGCTTGTAGATGGGTGCCGCTAGAGATTTTAGACCCCATGAAAGCATATCATATGGGTCCCCAACCCAGACCAAGCCAACCATCTCTAAATCGTTAGGACCCCTGTCACTCCTAACTCCCCCAACCTACGGCACCCCTGCTATGGTCTGTGAAGTCAGCTTTAGGGGGACTGATGTCATCCAACAGGGCTGTGGAATTTTCCATAAAATGAATCTGTGTGCTTTGGGCTTCCAACACCTCATTTACTGGATCAGCGGTTGAAAGACGGATGGATGATTGTATGGTTATTGGAGATGTTGTCCAAATTAACCTGTTTTTTTTTGCACATAGTATAATTGATAGTACAAGTACTGTGGATGCCTAGTTTTGCTAGTACAGTGTTATTGAGTTTCTGCCGATTTCTGTTCATCTTCTCCTCATGCCAAATTAGGAAATTGTATCTCGCAGTTAAATTCTGTGTAGTTCTTACTCAAGGATGGTAGCGACTGCGGGTAAGTGATTATGGTCCAGTGAAGCTGTTGTAGTTTATGTAACTTTTTCTTTCATATTTAAAGCTGACAACATAATCTGATATAATGTTAAGAAATGCATTATAATGCGTTTTCCAACCAGTGACAAAGTCACAGAGGTTTGGGGGCCGTAAGCTTATCCCAGGCAGCATAGTGCTCAAGGTAGGGGACACCAAGGCATATTCACACTCTGGGCGAGTGAACTGCATGCACTAGAAGGACAGTGAAACTGCAGGGCTACAGAGGGATGAGTGGGAAGGTGAGAGTCCAGGCCAGTCTTCTCTGCATCACGATGTGCTGACCGCCACTGTTCTGCTAATTCTATACAGTATTCTGTTGTGAAATTTCTTCTGATTTCTTCTGTTGAAGTTAATCAAGCAAATTAGACTTACTAGCTACATATATTCAATACATGTTTTTCCTTGATATTTGTTTGTGTTGTGTATGTGATTTTACTGAATGGGGCAGCTGTGTAAGACCTTTTGTCCTTATGTATTGTGTTTTTCCCTTGGTTAGGTTAGATGCAAAGCAGCTATTGTCTTCTTCCAGTACTGCATTATGGCCAGCTTCTTCTGGCTCTTAGTAGAGGGCCTATACCTCCACGCACTTTTGGCTGTCTCCTTCTTCTCGAAGAGGAAGTATTTCTGGTGGTACATTCTGATTGGCTGGGGTAAGTACAGTATGCCATCAAACTCATTGTGTTTAGTTTATTTAATAAATAGAGGTAACAGAATTATAATTACTGAATTTTGTTTGGAACCTTGCATGATGCAATGCTGGTATTCATAGGAGGACCAACTATCTTCATAACTTCGTGGGGTGTGACTAAGGCCTATTTTAATGATGTTGGGTAAGTCAAAACATATTCACACATGATGAATTTTCGAATTGGTTGATTCTGTCTGATTTTCTTTTACTTAAATTTTCCTGTGCAACCTCTTTCTAAATATTCATGTTGTTTTGTTCAATCATCAAATAAAGAGCTCTTTTTACCTTGAGCATGAAATTGCCAGGATGGATGTCATACGATCATATGTCGTCATTGTATTCATAGGAATACAAAGAAACTTTTAATAATACAGCTTTATTGAAGTACTAACTTAGAGCTGACACTTATTGGCAAGGCTTTTTCATGTCTTACCAATTAGTTCTTATTTGCAGGAATCTGTAATTAAGACATCCGTAATTCCAAATCAACCACAGTAACAACGCATTTATTGTGAAATTATAGCTGTTTTTTCCATTACTCCCACTGAACATTTACATGGACTACATAGTAAGTTATTTCTGCAGGTTCTGCCATTGAATTATCTCGCAATATGCCCCCCCGTTACTGGAGTCAAGGCCCTACAACTGGCTACATTGTTTGTTTTCACATATTGACTGTGCCCCATTGTGCTCCAGATGCTGGGACATCATTGAAACGTCAGATCCGTTTTGGTGGATCATCAAAACACCGATTCTAGCATCAATATTGGTCAGTCCACCTTTTCACATTTTTAATAGCTGTAAAAAATCCTTCCTGTAATAAGGTTAATAAACTGCTGCCAAAGTCCCCTATACCTGAGAGAGAAATGTTTTATAATCTGATAAAACGGCACACATATCTGACCAGTTTAAGCAGTTCGAAGTTGGACGGATGGATGGATGGATGGATGATCTAAACCATTTCCTGTCTAGTTTTTATTAGTAATTTTCCCCACTAACTGTAATTCAGTTTTTATACTTTTAGTACATTACTATTCATAGTTAAGGTAATTCAAAGAAGCATTCTGGGGTACAGTTCAGTCCCAACCTACACCAACCCAGGGCCAGATAATTTTCTTTTAACCAAAGCAATAAATGTTTTTTGTTGTTATTGATAAAGTAGGTCCAGACACAGTCTCTGCTGAATCATCAGTGTTACCCACTGAGTTGTTTAATAATGTCTCTAAGGACAGTAGGAAACAGGGGTCTTTGACCCTCACTTCACTAGATGCTGCGGGTGGCGAGTTGTGTTGAGCGAGGTAAAGGGTATCATTTTCATTATTAGGTCCAACCGCGTTGTTGATATTGTCGATTTCATCTAATAAGGCTTTGGGTATGAGAGAGGGTGATGCTCCTTCCATACCTGCTGATTCAGAGCCCCTTTCATTTAACATGCTTATTAATGTCTCTAAGGATGGTAGGAAACAGGGCTCTGCGACCCTGGCTTCACCAGACGTTGCGGGTGGCGAGTCGTGTTGAGCGAGGTAGTTTTGATAAACCGCATCATTTTCATTATTAGCATTGTTGATGTTGTCTATTTCATCTAATAAGGCTTCGGGTATATGAGGGGGTGTTGCTCCGTCCATACCTGCTGATTCAGGTCTTTCGTAGATTTTCTCTTGACCGGTCCGTGCCATCTCTCGTAGAAAAAAACATTAACCTATTATTAGAATAAGTTATTTTAATGTATAGCGTTTATCATAAAACATGAATAAAAGAAATAATATACTCACTTTATGCAAGTCCCGTGTAGTTTTCTCATACTCCGTCAGGTAACCAACCCGCTCAGCTACGCGCTCAGCTCCGTGCTCGGCACCGTCAGCCATCACCCTCATAGCACGGGGCTATTCCGACAAATCACACTCATAAGCACACAATTCACTGATGAAACTTCATTTCAGCCCCCGCAATAGTCAAAATAATATAAATAATTAAAAAGAATAATAAAAAAAAATTTTTTTTTAAAAATTATAATAATATAAATAAATAATTAAAATAACAATAATAAAAATAAATAATAAAATAATAATAAAAATTTATAAATAATTAAAAAATTTAAAAACTCTCTCCCAACATATGGAAATTATTAACAACATCACTAGTCGTTGCGTCACCTGGCTCCACCCTAACCACGCCCCAACCCTGCCCCCCCCAACCTGTCATATTTGATAAATTTGACCATTTGAACTTCAAAGACCTGTCATTTTGATTAATGTGACCTTTGTGACCTTTGACCCAACCTGTCATTTTGACGAAAGCGGTATTATCTATCTCTCTTTTCTATGGTTCCGTCCCATCAACTAAAGACAGGAGCTTAGGCAAAGTGTTATCTCTGGCTATAGCATATGAGTGTGTGCAATGGACTGACATCCCTTCCAGGATGTACCCTTGCCCTGTGCCCTATGCTGCTTCCAGGCTCACTGTCACCTTGTACCAGTGGTTGGAAAATGGATGCATGGAATCATGTTAATTAGCACTATTTAATTGGTGGTATAAGCATACGGGTGTTCATCAGTGCATCTGGCACCAGAGCATCCTAGGCCACAGTTTGATGATCGATTTTGTAATCGTACCATCAGATCTGAGTGTGTATGTTTTGTACACTTGGGTGAAGAGAGAAGCTGAGCTGTAAACTGATCACCACTTGGTGATAAGTTGGATCCAGTGGCGGGGTTAGATGTCATTAAAACCCGGTACCCAAATGCGTAGTGAGGCTGTGCTAGGAGTGTCTGGCAGAGGACCCTGTCCAGGAGATCTTCAACTCGCACCCCCAGCAACTTCTCCTGCATCCTGAGGGAGTCAGGGGACATTAAGCCTGAATAGGCAATGTTCCAGGACTCCATTGCAGAAGTGGGAGTAGGGTTGTTAGTGCCTCTTATGGTTGCAATTCCCGAACCCAGTGGTTGAATCAGTAAAGGGAGCTGACAGGCTGAAGAAAGAGGCCTTAGTTTCAGTCGGCACCAAAAAGATTTTGGCAAACCATTAGTCGACTCAGGAGGAGGATGCAGGGTTTTACCCATGCTGTTCACAGCAGAGATGGAGAACTCCATCCAGCCCATCGCAGGGCACACTCACACATCAGTTACTCACACATGCACACCTATGGGCAATTTAGTAACTACAATTAGCCTCAACATGTCTTTGGACTGCGGGGGGAAACCGGAGTGGCCGGAGGAAACCCCACGACAACACGGGGAGAACATGCAAACTCCACACACATGTAACCCAGGAGGAGACTCCCGGGTAATAATAATAATAATAATAATAATAAATTTTATTTATATAGCACTTTTCATACATTCTTTGTAACTCAATGTGCTTTACAGGGAGCAGACAAACAAATAAAAAAGAATAGTAAAAACTAGCAATAAAGACATAATAATACTAATCTAAAAAATGACAGCAATTTAAAAATCAATAGTAATAGACAATAAGACAGCAACACTTAAAACAAAAACAATCAATCAGAACAAGACATAAAAAGTGATACAAATAAGACAAATATAAAACAGTGAGATCTAACTAAAAGCCAGAGTATAAAAGTGTGTTTTTAGCAGCTTTTTAAAGATATTGAGGGAAGAGGCCTGACGAATATTTATGGGCAGCTTGTTCCAAGTCTTAGGAGCATAAAAACAGAAGCTGCTTCT